TTTTTTCATGAAAAAAGTGTGCCTTTGCACAAAAAAGGTTGAAAAACACTGATCTAGAACATGAGAGATAAGTGATCTAGATTTCAAAAGAAAAGGATAAGCAAAAACTGTTTCTGACTGTAACACGTGTAGCTTTTTTAATTGCCTTTTTTGAATGTTGTGTAAATGTGGTTTATATAAGGAAACAAAAATATCAGAACACATCCTCCCCAGCAACCAATATCCAGATAAACAGCGATTAATACCAGACAAATATTCAAGACAAGAACAGTGCCCTAATCAAAGAATGCCAAGAAGAAAGCCAATACTACTAAAGCAAGCTATTGCATATAAAGAGGGAGTAAACCCCATCCTCACTAGCAATGATGATGTTATCTAGTCAGGTAATAAAACATCTGGCAAGCAAACAACTAAGCTCAGAGAATATCAAACACATCACAGTTTAACCCTGAGCTACATTTATTCTCTTCTATTGTTCATGAGATATGAAGAATAATTGGAGGAAATTTCTGTGAATGGTGACCCCTAGTTTGGTTAGTATGATTGTATGCTATCAGATCTGAACAATAAGAAGCTATGACTGAGTGAATGGTTCTAGTTTATAGTTTATGGCAAAGCTAGTTTATGTCAAATGCCCTCCCAAATGCAGGACAGACAGTAACGTAATTCATTTTCTTCTTTCTCCATTTATTACTGCTAATAAACAATTTGCATAGGTAAATTAATGAATCACTTAATGTATACACAGTATTTATTATATGATTCCCATGTTGTGTTGTTTTATCCACAATCTGGAATCATGCTCTCTAAAAACAGCCCATATGTAAATATAAAGCATTATATAATTAATATTGGCATATATACCAAATAATGCTCTTACAATGAGATTGCAAAAAACTTAAATAGAGCAGCAATAATGGATAGCCTTAGTAGTAAAAGTGCCTTCTTTGAAATATACAAGGCTAGTTTTTATAGTGCATTTTACAGAAACTGTGTTATTGGCTGAGGAGGTAAGAAAGGTGCTTCATTTGGAGCAGTCTGCTGCTTCACATACAGACATTCACTAAATTGTTTGTGAACAAATATTGAGGCCTGGTGCTAGGCAGCTCTCATATCTGTAACTAGAAAAATAAAATTATCACTCTGACGTACAACATTATAAAGTTAATATAAAAACAGCATTCCCAAATTCTGCTGTTAAAAAATCATCCATAAAACTAGTGGCTTTTCCCCCCAAGTATCATATTTGTAAATTAATAATTACTTTTGTTTATGGCAAAAGACCTGAATATATAATATAAATTATGATCTTTTGAATGATCCAGTTAGTTTTCTTAATGAGATTTGGCAGGCAGGATCACATTATAGTGACTGATGATATAAAAAAAAAGGGATCAGAAAGGGAGAGGGAATTTATGCTGAGGAATATTCAAAAACAGATGCAATCATTGACTTTGATTGTTAGCAACCTAAATGATTAACATTTAGGTAATGCTGTTAACAACATGATGGCTCTTGAGCTAGTAGAAGCTGTTCCCCCTAGGAACCTTCAACAGGTTGGATGGCAGCACATCCATGCAGCACATTGAGAGGAAAGAAAGATTTCTAAATGTTAGCAATTGCCTTTTAGAAGAAATGAGGCCATGCTTACCAGTACAAATAGTAGAAGAATGAGAGGAGATAGAAAGCTAGTTTACACCAGGCTTCCCTTTGACAATAACGCAAGGTATCTGCATTCATAACTGCAGGTGGATCGTAGGCTAGCTCTGTGCTGTCTGCTGGACAATGGAAATACCTAAAAGAGAACACAAGAAATCTTCAAGATTCTCACTAAAATTATATCAAGCCACAAGAAGGTTTTTAATCATGTGTTCTGTTCCCAAAGTGCTTCATTGTCCTTTTGTTAATTCATTCTTGTCACAACGTCATAGACCTCTATACAATTAGGCTAAAGTACAGGCAATATTTTTTTCCTATTTGTGCAAAGCTCTTTACAAAATTGAGAAAACTCTCTTCTCACAACTTTCTAAGTCCAAAGAAGAGCCTACACCACAAGAGCAGGCTCTATGCTATAGAAAATTAACTCCTTATGGGAAAGCTGTGAGGCACAATGAGGGATAAGAATAAGGTCTCTTGCATGTTGTAGAGTGCCTTTTTCTTTCTCTTCATACACGGATGAAGGAGAACTACAGTAAAATTATGGAGTTTCCTTATAATCATTTTACTTATGACTCAATTTTGATTCCTGACAATGATATAAAAAGTCCATGCAGTTTTCTTGGAAACATTTTTGAAAGCAGTTTGCCATTGCATCATTCCTACAGCTGAGAAAGATTACCTCAACGTCACCTAGCTAGCTTCCATTTCTAAGGCAAGAGTAGAACTAATTTTCTCCATACCTAGTCCAGTATCTTAACAAAAACAAAATGACTCTTTTGTTTTATGAAATGTTAAACAAATTATCTTTCTGGTCCATTACAGTTTATGCTGTAGGAGAGCCAGACAGTATATTTTAGCCACTCCTGGTCTCTTTAACATATAAGTATAACATGGACTTTATCACCAAGTCATGAGACTTTGCCCTATTCTATGCATCATTCATTACATCAGAAGACAATGCTTTACATGATGGATGTACCTTGATATCCCCATGTCAGGTGGAAAAATTAACACATACAATCTTACACTTCACTGCAGATACAATTTTCTCTTCACATCATCATCTCCATGTAAGGAAGGATATTTATTTATTACATTTCTGCCTGTCTGGCAGCTACTCACAACACAAGAACTTCTGCCAGGGAGCTAGAAGTGACAAATTTTTGAACACAAATGAATCAAAATAGAGTTAGATTTACCTCCAAAAATGATAGAAAAGCAGGGGAATATTCAAGCCCATAGTTAACCATTCTTGAGCACACATAAACATTATGCAGAAAAGGCTATGGATGGAATATTCTGGCAACACTAACTAAAGAGAAAGGAAACAAAGACAGGATTATAAGGTTAAAGATAAATTACATAAAAATTCCAGAAGATCAATCATAATTGCAAATCTTTAGTCTATTACAACAGTGTGTCTTTATGATTGAAGAGTTATTGTATAATATTGTGACATAAGCAACATAAATCCTGAATGCAGGCCACATTTATCCTGCTTTCTGTAGGTCATCCTCAACTTCTGACCATTCGTTCAGCAATCATCCAAAGTTATGACAGCGCTGAATGAATGATGGTTACAACCAGCCATCCTGGTACTTACATTGGCAATTGGCTCACACTTATGACTGGTTGCAGCATCTTGTAATCACATAATTGCCATTCGCAATCTTCCATGCCAGCTTTCTCTAAACTCAATGAGAAGTTGCCAGGAAAAGATGCAAGACACTGGGGAAAGTCTCCCCATCCACACACCCAAGCTTCTTTGTGCTTACACCAGCTACTTGCACACACCTACATACCCTCCCCAAACCCACCATTCGTGCACCCACATACACCCTTCCTGAGCCTCGCTGTGCCTTCCTCACACTCTCACACATTCTCCCTGAATTTTGCCATGCCTTCCCCACTTCATGTTACTCCTTCCCCCGCCAGGCAACAGTCACTCTAGCTGCGCTCACCCTTCACCACCTCTGCACCCCACATGCTCTCCCCCACCCAGCAGCAGTCATTTACTTGAATGCTAGCCTGATTGCGAGCCACTTATGTCTTGTTACTTTCTGCTGGCTTCCCCAATAATTTTAGTTGTGAAAATCTGGCAGGAATTGCAAAGAGACCTTCACCTAACAACCACTGCAATTCAGTTAATGACAGAAATTGAGACTGCAGTGACTGGCATTGCAAAGTGATATAGTTGTACATAATTGCCACGTTAATTAGTGATGGAAATTTTGGTCCCAATTGCCATTGTAACTATCTGTATTTAAGCCTGTATTAAGGTTACCTGTATTTCAGGACTACCTGTACATAACCCAGGGATTTTTTTCACTATTTAGAAAAACATTTAAAATGCTTAATTTTTGCCTCTGTTTTATATGGAAATATAAGTAAGAAACTTACAATTTGTGATTAAAAAATGACATGATTATCTGGAGGATGATCAATACTAACTGGTGTTTTTTAGTTAAAATGAATCCTTTTTGAGCTTTTAAAAATGAGAGCCAGAACTCATAAAGTTGATTATATCTGCACTGGTAGATTCCAATGATTCTATTCTATTCTATTCCATTCTATTCTATTCTATATATCTGGCCTATATCCAGAACTGATATGAGATGAAAAGTTAGTATTAAAACCTGAAAAAGTTTGAATAGCTTAATTTTTGGCAACAGATGAGCAACAGTGAAGAGAAAATTGGTTGCAAGCATGATAAACTGTACTGTATAGTGCTAGAAAGCCATAGCATCACCAAGTTGAAAGGAACTATTTAGACCACTGAGCCACTTCCTATTCAGAACAAGAACTCAAATATAAGCATCACTGTTCAGCCTTTGCTTCACTGTATCCAGTAATAGGGAGCTAAGGGTCTCCTGTGACTCCCTACTCTCATACCTCTCTTTTTGCTGCTCAGCCAACTGTCCAACCGCAGCAGAGAAAGTATTCTGTTGAAGCTGCAAGGTGGCTTTTGAGACAGAAATCCCCACCACTTCTTCACCCCTCAATTTTTCCATTAAGAAAGATAGAGCAAGGAATGCCTTTGGGAACCAACAATTTGAGGTTGCTGTTTGGGAAAAGTGCCATTTCCCGAAGATGTCCTTAGCCTGGTTTGTTTGGAGAGAGTCAGTTGTTCTCTGATTCTGACTCTGAATCTCAATTTTGCCTCCTAACTTATCCCATCTCTAAAGTCCTTTCTTCTCTCTCAGCAACTGATTTTGTACCTCCTAGACACTGCCAGTAGGTCCAGCCTAATCCCATATCTTGTTCATTTGAAATATGCTTCTATAGCTTGCTGTATCTGCAGCATTTGTTTATGTTTGGGACAGAAGTGTTTACTGTGAAGAAAATTGGGTCATCTGTCAAACACAACCTAGTAGTGATGCCTGCATAAACAGTGTGTGACTTCACTTGGCCCACCTGGCAGCACAGCATGTAGCCAGCTTTGCAATCTCTCAACAGGTGGCCTGCCAGCAGTATGTTCTGTGAATCAGACACAAATGGAAGATTTTTAAAAAACTCTTTTTAATTTCAGGGGACCTACCAAAATCTGAGGTCTCAGCTCTGGCTTAAATGTAAAATTTTATGACATATCTATATATTAAACAGATCCTTGTAAACAAATAGCAAGTAGGAAAAATATATGCGCATTGCACAGACACATGACCTATGATAGCAAAAATATTTTTGGCCTTAAGTCAAGTGGATTTCCATATCAAGCTTAAGAAGTCTACTGAAAAATTTATGAAAAGTTCCTGGAGTTCTTTCTTTTATATGATTCATTTATCAGACGCCTAATATTTTCTACAGGTCATACAAAGATGACAAAGAGGGAGAGATGATATGGAGTTAACAGAAAAGCAAGCAAATCCAAGCACTAATTGTTATAAAGACATATAAAGGCCACTACTGAAGCCCACTTGGGGAAACCAGCAAGAGGTGATTTTGCTTGCATTTGCTGGCATAAGAATGATTTGGCAGTCTCATTTTTCCTCCATCAAGAGTCAGTCTTCACAGCTGATTCAAGAGATCTTCAATTCAGCCTGGTGATTTTTAGATATACCAGATTATTTAACTTATTACATTTATATTTTACTCCCCCCCCCCCCTAATTCTCAAAGCTGCATCCTAAACACTTTCTAATTTTATCCTTCCAACAATCAGGGAGAGATAATGGCTGTGAACACACATTATGCAAAGCCAAAAACATACACAGCTGAACAGCCACAAACTAGGCCCTCTTTGGTTAGAGTCTAACAATCTTACCAATGTGTCACATTGAGTACAATTCCCATAGTTTCAGAGATGATCCATCTTAGATTGCAATTTGTTGCAAATCTATATCAGCTTCATTTTTATTTCTTGCCTTTTCTTTCTGATATTTTCAACCACAATGAAAACTTCCTGAAAAATTCAAAAGTTTGCCATGTCCCTTATAAATCTTTGGTAAACGTAGTGAAAGCATTACTGGTTCAGTCTGTAAACTTGGAGGTAAAGGTTATAAACTATGGACAATGTTCCCTCTAATTTTTTTTCAGTGTGAGCAGAAAAGTATAGTATTTGAGCGGCATATTTTCATGCCTGAGCACCTG